GTTGACCTTACTGTGGTCCTCTGGAAGTAACGGGCACATAAGAGAAAATCAAATGCAAAGCTAAGTAAAACCAGGCATCAGGTTCAGTAGAGAAACAGGTAGGAATGGTGAGTTCTAGAAATCCAGGGGTAGGAAAGGAGCTTATGCCAAGCCTCGAATGGTGGGATAAAGCACAGTGGTGAAACTACAGATATGCATAGATGGAGTAAAATGGAGCATAAAAAGGAAGGAGCTGGACTTCTAAAACATCCTAATTTTATTTCAAAATCTTCCTTTTGCTCACAAGCAGAATGCAGGTCATCAGTCGGGAAACGTTCTTCAGCCATGCTGGGATCATCTCAGTGGCTATCAAGCATTACTGAAGTAAGCCTAAAACCAGAAAATGTGGAGTGTGAGACTGCAAGAGGGGCCATGCAAAACCCCGCATAAACACTGCCCTCAGAATGAGGGTCCTTACAGCGCAGGTGGGATACAACCCGTGCTCACTCATTTTCTCATTCTTTCATTCACTCAGCCAGGGTTTACTGACGCCAGGCGCCAGGCGCCAGGCACCGGTCTCAGCACCAGCGCTGTTTGGTGATCATGCTCTATTTAGTTCTGGAGCTCATGGAACACACAGGTCAGTGGGGAAGGCAATCAATCAGACCACCAGAGAACAACGCATCCTTATTTACTCCAAAAGGACCAGGAGAAAAAGGATAAAGTACTAAAACTGCATTCAACTGGAGAGCTTCACTAATTAAATGACTTCTCAGTTGAGGTCTCGGAAAGAGGAAACAATACAAAGAACAGTGCTCTAGGGAATGGGGGGAAAGACTTCGCATCCTGCTTCATAAAGACTGTAGGATCCAGTGAGCCTCATCTGAATGGCCCAGGCATGTCTGGGCTTGGAGAGGCCCCTGCAGCTCCTTCTCTGCTCCAAGTAGGAAGGTGCATCCTCCTTTAGGGAGCAAGGTTACCCTGCCTTCGGGGTTACTGTCCAGGGGGAGAGGCTTTGCAGGAAGTGACTATGCCTGGCTTTCTTGCTAGAACACTGCCACAAATCCTATCAAAGACCAGTTGTTTGCAAAGACTGAGACAAGATCAAATGCGGCTTCCCCCTGAAATGGCAGCAAGTGTTTTGTAAAGGAATCGCAGTGATCTCAAGCCTGGAAATTTCTAGTCCAGAAATAGGCTTCCAGTTGCCTTTCCACTGAAATTGAAACCAAGAAAGAAAGGGTCTTGGAGGGAGGGAGGGTTCAATCACGAGGTGAGGGAAAGGGTGAAGTTAGTCCTCCTGTCACCGACCCACACACACTGCTCAGAACCAGAACGAAGGGGAAGTCGCTCTAGCAGATGTTTGCAAATTAGCCAAAATTATGTCACAGAGTAAGGCAGCTGAGTTGGAGATGTACCCAGAGAGATCTCCCGACAAGTGCTGGAGGAAGACCTTTAAATGCCTCTGAGCCCTTGGGGTGCAAGGCTTGGGAGATAAGCAATGGGGAGCACAGTCTCTGTCTTCTGATAGCTGATCCACAGCTTTGCCAGAGCACTCCTCTACTGAGCCCCAAGGAAACCTGGCGGGGCTGGGCAGTGCCAAGTGACACACGTTAGAGTTTGTCTTGGTTCTGCTGCTTACAAATATCACACACACACACACACACACACACCACTGAGAGAACATGGAGAAACTGCTAGTGACAACAGATGAGCAAGTCAGAGCCAAGGGAGAGGGGTGAACTCAGTGGGATAGCATATTCAGAGCGCCCATCCTAGTATGGTATTACATTTGTAAAAAAGAGCAATCACAGGGCAGCAATGTTGACTCTCAGTCACTGAATATCTTTTGGAGGTGGTCACTGTAATTTTTTTCTTCTTAGACAAAGAAGAACTACAGGCACTTAGACTCTTCTAGAAATAAAAGACACAGCAAAACCGTGGGGTGCTTTTGAACCTCCAAAGGTATCTGGAATACAAAGATTTTCTAGAATGCTAGCAAAGGGCCCTCTGTGACACAGCTCCTGTAAAATAAAAAACGTACAGAAAGACCAGCATATCACAGGAAGCCAGTATGGGAGGTGGAGATGGAGGTTTTTAAGAATTCTTTTAGCCCTCCTGACTTAATGGCATTCTTTTAGCAGGAGAAAAACCAATTACTAATACGAAAAAAAAGAAACGAAGGAACTTACAACTATATTGTTTCCTTAAATGAAGAAAACAGAGGTAAGTGTGGTGTCTATAAAGAAAAAAATCTTCATAAAAGTTTTCCAGCTGGATATTTCCTAAGAGAAAACCAATTTCTGCTCCTCTAATAAAGGACAGAACAGTTGTTGGGAGTGACCCAGAAGGTAACATAATATAAGTTCTGATTGATCAAAGAAATTTCACTACAGAAATACACAGGAGGGGGCATTTCACTGTTCTCCCCGAGAGTATGACAGTAGGCAAAATCAAAACACTGAATTCTCTGTTTCCAAAACACTTCCTATTAAAACAGTGACATTTGTCTCAATTAAGTAGCTAAAGCTACCACTATGCATCTGCCTTTAAGTGAGTTTGTAAAAACAAGTTTCTCTCTTCCCGGGTTTTAATTTTAAGTTAATCTGGATGACTGTATGGAACAAAGATACACCTATCCAATAGAAAAGCAAAGTGCATGCAGTTTCTATTTCCAAATTCAACTTCATAGGACACTTATGCTTAGAAAGCAAAAAAATCACAACTCGCTTTTGGCTATTTCTCTGTATAAACTGCATAATATTTTGACAGAAAGGTTTTGTTTCATTTGTTTTGAATAATCACTAGTTCGATTTATTGACTATTTTAGTTTTTCCAGAACAAAATTCATGTTGAGGGAAAAATTAAAGATGCTAAAATAAAAATTTTTCCACATAGGCCAGTCCTGTATGGTTCCTGCCTATAATCCCAGCTCTCAGAAGGCCGAGGCATGAGGATTGCTGTGAGTTCCAGGCCAGCCTGGACTACATACTGAATTTAAAACAAGCCTAAACTACACAGGTAAATCCTGTCTCCAAAAACCACCACAAAGCCAAAAAAAAAAAAAAAACTCCCCACAGGGAAAACTAAAAAACGTGTTTTCCGCAAGGCAGAATAACTTGAACGTAATTTGAAAAGCTCTGTTAGAAAATTACTTCATAATTTTTAAAAGTACCTGTTAACTAGTTTATATTGCCAATATTTATATTGTCTATAAATTTGGAGATGAAATATTTTATTGGCAAACTAATCTTAGAATAAAAATATATAGAAAAATGGATAGATGTAGTGTTTTTAAAGCCTACATTTGCATTTTAAAGTTTTTTCTTATGAAAGATATTTTCTCTTCAAGCACACTGGTTTAAAAAAATCAGTCACAGAATTTTAGATCAAGAGCTAAGAATATTTCAGAGTAGTGATTTCTCTTCAGCAATGTTAAACTGAACTATTAAATCCAAAGAAAATCGAGGCCAAAGCTACTGACACCAGATTTCCATCAAGTTCTCTTCATGAATGCCAAAGTATGGGTTTTCTGAGCCAAAGACTGCTTTTATAACCCAAACTTGTAAATTCCATACGTGTTCCACAGATATTGCATATTTCTGCACATATTGATTTTCCTTTTTTAAAACTCGCCTGAAGTAAACTTTATTCCTTCGACACCGGATAAATCAGTGTACGTGTAACATTTCTTGCCTCTACGGTACTTCCAGGCCGGTGGGAATAAAAAGGATTGCTACATAAGCAAAACTGACCTAGGTAGGCCAACAGAATGTGTGCATAAATAACAGTGCAAAGGCGCTCTTTTGGAACAGCTACTTCCTGGTAAAAATATTTTTTTTTTTTTTTTGGAGAGAGATTTGGCTGCAAACCTAAAATCGTTTCCCTAGTTCTAAGCATTCTCACGCCAGTGTTGAACCACACACACGTTAGGCTGAGGCATCGCGCTTTCTACGAAGCCATTCATGAGCACCATAAAAGCCACCCATCTGCTTTGGATGGTTACTTTTATTATCTTTTCCTTTCCTCACTGCGATCCCGATCCCGTAACTTCACGTGTCACGCTGGAGGTGGGGAACATCCTTCTCCACCTGCCCGAGCCCCGTCTCCTTGTGCCTGGGAACCACAAGCCAGGGTCTCGCCACATCCATAGCAGCCGCTCCTCGTCCCCGCGCCACCCCCAGCCCAGCCGAGCACTGCGCACCGCCGCTGAGTCTGGACGCGGACGACGGCGGCGGCCACCGCCTCCCAGCGCCCGAGCCACGCGGAGGAGGGCGGCAGCTCGCCCCCCGCCAGCGCGATGCGGTTCTCCGTTGCCCGCTGCAGCCGCCCCCTAGTTGCAAGCACGATCCATGCCCGCGCCCAGCCCCAAGACAGGTCCTGCTGGGTCTCTGGCTCCAGCTCCGCTCGTTCAATCCGCCGCCACCGGATCCCGGGATACCGGCCACGGCCGCGGCTGGGCGACCCTCCGTGACCTCGCCGTGAGCATCTCTCCTGGCATCTCGCTGTCTCTGCGCCCCTCTTTGTGTCTCTCTCTTTCTCCACCTTCGGTCTGGCGCACAAGAGGGGAGGGGTCTCTCTCTACAGCCGACGCCAAAATGTCACCCGAAAAGCAAGTGCAACAACTTGGTTCGCTAAGGGCTCGGGAGTGGGTGGCCAGCGGCCCCTCCTCTCCTGCGCTGGGCCGGGGAGGTGAGTGGGGCGGATGGCCGTGGAGATGACGAGAAACGGGACGGTGTCCTCCCCTCCCCCCTCCGGGACCCTGTCGCAGTTAGAAATCGGTCGTTCCCGGGCCCCCCAGGGGAGCTGCGAGGACCACGCGCTGGCAGGAGGACTCCCCGGCCCCGGCATCCCCGCGTCCCCAGGGGCCCGAGAGTGCGCCCCGGGCCCAGGCAGAGAAGCCGAGGCGCGGGCCGGGGCCGGGGGCGCCCAGCCCGCAGTCCCTGGTCCCGGAGGACGCGGGAGCCACCGCGCGCCGCCGCGTGTCCGCGCGCTCCCCGGCCCCGCGCTCAGCCCCGCGTTACCTGGCCGCTGCCCGCAGTCCGGCCCTCGCCCGCGGCGCCGTCCGTCCGTCCCGCCAGCCCGGAGCTGGGACTCTACACTCTCCTGGCGCCGGCCGGCGCTCAGCGAGGAGACCCGAGCGCCGAGCGGAGGCGGCCGCAGCAGCCCGTGCCGCCGGGTCCCCGGGGCGGGAGGTGTCGGTGCGGCCGCGTCCTCCTCGGGATCGCGGCGCCCGGAGCGCAGCGCTCGCCTCTGGCGCGGAGGCTGAGCGCCCGGACGCGGCGGGCTGGGGCGGCGAAGCTGGGCTGGTCACCCGCCCCTGGGTGCATGTTAATACGGCGGGGAGGAGGAGTCCGCGCTTCCTCCGCCCAACCACGGAGTCGGCGGGCGGGCGGTCGGGCGGGCGGCGGCCCCGAGCCAGCCGCTCCCACCCGCCCCAGCTACTACAGCGCGGCCGCTGGCGCTGGCCCCGGCCCAGGCACGTGCGCCCCGGCCGCGCGGAGGCGCCGCGTCCCCCGGAGCGCGCGCTCGGCTCGGGCTAGGAAGTGCGCCGCCCTGGGCGAGCGAAGCGCAGCAGGCTAGGCCGGGCCACCCGCTAGTGGGCGTGACCTGGCGACAGCTCGGAAGACCGGACCTCCCGCGCCCCTCTGGCGGGTTGGTGTTCCTAGCCTCCGGGGAGTCTTCGAGCTTGGTGTCACCGAGAGAGGGTAGGCGCCCGCGCAGAGGCTTGGAGAACCTGTCCTCTCCAAGACCTCTAGAATCCATAAGGGAATATGGGAAAGAGGCGGAGCAGATAATTCTCAGAGCCACAGTGCAGGCTTCCAAACACATTCTTTGGAGCCTAAGTTTCTTCACCTCTTCCACGACAGCCCTTGGGAGGATGCGTATGTTAGATTGTAAAAAATGTGTTCTACCAGTTCCCCTGGGTATGGGCCTAAATGCAAGTAGAAAATCGAATCTCTTGGAAGCTTCTGACCTCTCACCCTAGGAAACTCCCCGGAATCCAGCCCAAGCCCACAGAAACTAGGTCCCTTCAGGGAGACTGAGCACTGCGCCTCTGCCGCCAGAGCGGGAGGACTCACCTGGCTCGCCTGGAAGTAGAAATGAGGATCGCAGGGCTGCGTGAGGGGATGGACCAAGGAGCCGTCCAGGGAAACTGGACAATTAAATATTGCTGGAGCTTCTGCTCCATTCGCTTAAGTATTGCATGTTTTAGGCATTCAGTGTTTAAATATTAAGAGTAGTATGCTGAGATAGCTAAAATAATCATAATCACTCTCTTCCTGTTTTCCCGCACTCTAGAAAGAAATAGCATCTTAGTGGAGATGCCCTTTGTTCCACAGCTTCCAGAAAAAAATACGCTGCCAAAAAACCTATAATCTTCTGTATGTTATTGTACCCATAACGTTAGAGCATAAGATCTAGCGTCTGTTTTGTGTGCTATCTAATTATAAATATTAATAGAATGTCCTTTTTAAAGGAAATGTTTCTAAAAATGCATAGAAATGTAAAACAGTTTCCCTAAAATTATGACTCAGATAAATAATCTCTTTTCCATAATTTCGCTGGGTAATTTTCCACTAAAGAAAAAAATACATCATTTAACCACTATAGGGAGGTAGTTTGTCAGCATTGTGGTACCGTGATCACCAATGTTCAAATAATGTTCTAAAAAGATATTTCCAGCCAATTCAAGAATTACTTCAAGCAGTGACCCTTAGAGAAATAAAATATGGGCATGTGAAAGTAGTCTTCATAATTGGGAAGACACAACTGCCTCACCTCTCCAGATTTGTGAATATACTTAAGTTGTAGAATTCTTTGGTGACATCATATAACTAAGAAGGTCAATTAACTATTAGTCACTAACTCAAAGTAGATGAGTTTAGGGAATGAAATAACTTGAAAGGGGAAATCAGTTTTCTTGCAAAATTCTTATAGTTAGTTGTAAGCCAGCAGCAGCAGCATCTATATATCACTGTTATTAGGATTTTCTAAGTAATAGGAACTAAATTTGGCTAAGTGGAAGTAATTAATTCAAAAGATATTGAAAACTTCCAGAATTAAAGAAAGCAATGAAACACAGGCAAAATTTATGAGAAGATAGATAGACCAGGAAGCAGGGAAGACAGAATAGTGTGCTCAACATAAGCAAATGCCAGTTCTTTGTTCTGATGTCCTCTTACTGCATCAGGATGTATATAGTGACAGGGTCAAGCACGTGAGTGACCATGCATCACACACACAGTAACTGGCCTGGGCACCATGATGGGGAAAGGAAGCACTGGGCTCCTAATTTCCAGCATAGAAGGCAGGCACCTGGCTTTCCCACCCTTCCATGTGAACTGAGATGGGTAATTCCACAAAGGAAGATCAAGGAGGTGTTAGAAAAGAAGGTTGAGATTGCTGCTGACCTATCTGCTGCACTGATAATTGGCTATGAAATTTGTGTTATAATTCTTTTTTTTTTCTTCTTTTTTTGGTCTTTTTCGTTTTTATCGGTACCAAGGATTGAACTCACGACTGCCTGCTTGCAAGGCAGGCTCTTATGCCACTGAGCTAAATTCCCAGCCCCTGTGTTATAATTCTTGTAGTCATTTAGAAACAGTGATACTGGCTAAGGGAGACTGAAGGGACTTCTTTTTGTTGTTTATATACTTGTTTTCACTTAAGGCCTCTTCAAATGTTTAAACTTCTGGCATGTAACTGGTTACCCTTAGTTCTATGAGTAGAGTGTCTTAAGCACCACTACAGATCAGGGCTGGTCACCTGGCTCATTTCTACCTCCCCCGTGTGGCAGTTGAATAATGGACATGAAAAGACATCCATCCTAACACGGACCCTAACCCTAATCCTTGGAACCAGTAAATGGCACCTGACATGGCAAGAGGCATCTTACAAATGAGATTAAGCTGATGATGTTGTGATAGGAAGGTCCTTAGAAGAAAGACATGAGAAATTCAATGGCAGAATTTAAAAATGGACTGATGAAAGTGGAGGCCAGAATGATAAGCTTTGAGGAAGACCATCATACTCTCTAGAAAGCAGAAAAGGTAAGGAAATGGTCCTCTCTCTTAGAGTCTCCAGAAGGAAGTCTGGCTTGCTAAGTTCTTGAACTTCAGCCCACTTTAGCTGATTTCAGACTCCTGACCTCCAGAACTGTAAGATAATAAAGTTGCATTACTTTAAATTGCCAAGTTGCAAGTAATTTTTGTAACAGCCATGGAGAGACTAATATAATCAACCTACCTGACCTTGGGAGCACCCTCACAAGGGCGTGCTGTTGATAGCAGGTGGAATGAAAATCCTTGCTGAAGAAGAGGCCATAAAAGTGTACTTTCTGGAGAAGCAGCTCACAGCTGCTAAGACAGCAAGTGGTAAGGACAGGAAATTAGAAATCATGGACAGATAAGCTTCTTACTCAAGAATTTCCAATTCTCTTTTAAGTCCAAATGTTGACATCTTTTGTACATCACAACATGAGCAAATGGAAATTCCCATTAAAATGAAGCCATTTGGAAAGGAGAAAGAACTCAACAGTAAATGTGAAGACATACAAACCAATTTTAATAGAGCAGCCACACCTATTTTCAAGGTCTTTGGTGTCTGTGTAAAGTGGTGCTAACATGTAGGCCTTGTCTTCAGCCTTGGCCTTTGTGCTGGGTTTCAGACTGCTTACAAAAACCTGCTGAGAAGTTTCACAGATGTGGGAAACCTAACAGGTCCAAGTGAAACCCACCAATCTCTGCCCTTCCTTTGCATTCAAATGTGTTCTGCTTCCTGGTGTATAAATCCGTGGCAGTGTCATCCACCAAGTCACCGATACAAGAAACCTGTGAGTTCTCTTTGACTTCTGTACCCAGTGGTCATGTATAATACCTCACCCAACACCGCTGACCTCTTCCACTGTGGCAGGAGATCTGGAAACTCCTTCGGTTTCTGTCATGGTTTATGTTTGTGTCCCCCAGGCCTCATGAGTTTGCATTGTTCATATGTGATGGTTCATTGTCTAGTGCTTGGATTGATGGTGTCAGTGCTCCACCCACATAGGGGTGGAGCCAGGATGTGATGTAATGGCAGGAAGAAGGTGTGTTTTTCTCTTTGCTGGTTCCAGTTTGCTGTTGCCGGCTGCCATGAACTGCAGCCCAGCCATGCCTGCCTGTCTTGGAGCCAACTGAGTGTGGACTGAAACCTCCAAAAACTGTAAGAAATAAACCTTTCCTTTCCCAACTTTGGGCTTCAGGTATTTTGTCTCAGCGACCAGCATAAAGTAACTAAGACAGTTTCCATTTCTGTCTGGCCTGCCTCCCCCTCTGACCTCGAGGATATCATCCTCTTAATTTTTTCTCTTTGCCATTTTTACATTTTCTTCATTATAATGACAGTGAAGATGCAGCGCTGACCATGTTATTACGTGTCTTTGAAAGCCTTAATAAAGGGGTGGGGGTGTAGCTTATTGGTAGAGTGTTTACCTACTGTGAATATGTCCCTGAATTTCATTTCCAGCGTCAACAAAAACAAAAACACCTTAAATGACAGCCATGACTTCCAAAAGAAAGTATTTTGTGTTCATGATCTGTACATTACACTTCAGTAAATCAAGCTACTCTGTGTCATACCACGCATGTGACATGCTTCATAAAACATCATGGATTGTCTCATACTTTTTCTCTCTAACTTGAATATTCCCTCGTCCCTCCTCTCTCCTTTCTTTCTGCTTATGCTGGCCAATATTTAATCTTTAATGCTGAAACCTTGTGCCTAAATCATCAGACTGGATTAAACAGTTCTCATCACAACTTCCAATGTCTTGTGTCTTAACCACATTGCACTGAACTCTTCAGGTTATTTAAATTACATTTCAGAGAATATATCTATATTGATTTGTGTCCCAACATCCAGCCTAGTAATTATCTCTCCATAGTTAATCAATAAATATTTTGGGATATTCAATTTATCTGAACTTATTTAAAATATTTAATGATGGAAGCGTATATCTTAATATCATTTACTAGAATCCTACATTTAATACAGTATCACCTGTAATCAAATTTTAAAACCCATCACTTCTTAAGTTTTATAAATGGGGAGCTTCTTTCATCATGCTAAACAAAAAAATGAGGAGAAGTATATGAAGGTATCCTATCAAGTTGATTTTTTTTTAAAGTTTATCCAGCAAAATATGATACTTTAAAATGAATTACAATGATCTTTTTAGTTTCAAAT